ACATGTAAGTAAGACCATACAGTATGTATTTTTCCCTGTCTGCATTATTTTACTTAGCAAAATGTCTTCCACATTCAACCACATTATCCCAAAGGCAGGATTTCCTTCCTTTTTAAGGCTAAATAATATTTCATTGCATATATGTATACCACATTTTCTTTATTCACCTGTTAATAGACACTTAGGCTGTTTCCATTTCTTGGCTGCTGTGAATAATGCTTCAGTGAGCATTGGAGTGTAGCTATCTCTTCAAAGTGCTGATCCCATTTTCTTTGGATATATAACCAGAAGTAAGACTGGCTGGTCTTATGATAGCTCTATTTTACATTTTTTGAGCAACCTCTATACTTTTTCCAAAATGACCATACCTATTTATATCCCCAACAATGTGCAAAGGTTTCCTTTTTCTCCACATCATCACTGACTCCTGTTATCTCTTGTCGTGCACACCTGTTAGGATGGTTATCATGAAAAAGATAAGAGATAACAAGGAGAATTTTATTTTTCAATTGAAGAGTATTAACCCAAAGTCATTTTTATCAAATAAATTTCATCTAACTTATTTCTATTTTTCTTCTTTTATATAAAAGTCTGTTTAAATTCAATTTTTATCCTACAGGTATTATGTACCCTTCTGGCTTTGGAATTCTCTAAAAGGGGGCACACACCCAATTTAGTAAAAGAAAGAAAAGCAGTTGTCTACTTCTAAGTATCATCACTAACAAAGTACCATGTTGTGCTCAACACTACCTGGAAGCATAAGGGAAGTTTGGGCATATAGAATGTAATTATTAACCTGAGTTGGACTTTACCTAGAACACTGGACCTACATCCTTCTACTTCCCCTGCCCCTACTTGTGATCTGTGCTTGTCATAGCACAAGTCCTCAGGACTTTAAATGCCCATCAAGAGACACCACCTTAGAAACATATTACAACCAAATGTTGCAGCTCCCTTCCTGAGAGGTGTCAACATGTTCTTTTTGTTAAATAGATCACCAACTGCTAGACTATGTATGTCCAAAAACATTCTATGCCATATGTTCAGAACAGTGCTGGACCCTATGTGCAGCACAGAAGTATACAAAATAAAGAACATATCCATATCCTTATGGAACTTACAACCCATTTAAGAAAATGGCTTATGAGAATAACAAGAAACATTACAATAGCTACCAGTTATACTAAAGAGATGTCAGGTGCCATGTTAAGTCCTTTATACATATTTTATAGGACTTACTTTATACTTGATGTATTGTTTACTCAAAGCAAGCTGTTTAAGTTAGGGGTATTTTCCTGATTTTTTTTTAAAAGGAAACTCAGGTGCCCAGAACAAACAGTCTAACCAGGTTTGGGTAACTACAAAGCTCATACTCTAATCACTGTACTATATGGATTCTCAATGAGTATATTATCAATCAGATGCTAAATTGTAAGACACAGATAAAAGCTAAGAATGGCAAAGAGTGAAACGTGAACATATTGACTAGAGGTCACAGGATGAGGTGTTAGGAGGGAGGCTAGACTTCGTTTGACTTTAAAGAATCATATAAGTACATAAAAAGAAAGGGGCTGTGTATTCTAAATGCCAAATTATATAAACTTTGTGCAAAGGTCAGAAGGCAAGAAAAGCATGTCATGATCAGAGAGACAAGAATCAGATATGTGATATGTTCCAACATGGATGTAGGTCTAAAATATTTTAATTTTTCATATTTTCATATCAATGGGCAAATATGCTTTAGTCTATATAATGTTCAACTCAATAATGTCAACTTTAATTTATTTCAAAAGACTTCAGAAGCCTCTAGAAATGGATGTGTTTCATAATGTTATTATAAGTTTTAAGGGTAGATAAAGAGAGGAATGAATTACGTTAGTCTACCTTATTTTATTATCAAACCTTATTTAGTTTTACTCCACAAAATGAAAGCTCTAAGGAAATCTCTCGATTTATAAGCACTCAAATTAATACATGAATCTGGGATCGATATAATAGCTGGAACTTGCTATTACCATTCCTATGTCATACCAACTAGGACGATGAAAACCAAGCAGTCCAAACAGATAAACTCCAAGACTGTATCTGCCTTTCGATAGTAAGAACCAAAAGAGTCTCCAGGTTCTCCAGTTAATCCTGCTTTGTCATCCATTTACTTCCAGCTGACTCATTCCCATAAGCCCACCACCTTGCCTATCACAGCCTCCTCTCTCATCTTTTCCAATCAAAGCTATTTCAACATTTGTCTTTTTGAAAGTAGGAAAATGTAGAGATGCTTGTGCCCTGACCCAGCAAAGCTGATGCACTGGCACTCACTCTTTTAAATAAATACTAAGTTCAGAAACTTGGGAAAGAAAGCACATTAAACCTCAGAAAAACAGAGGTGAGAGAATGGAGTTATGTACTCCAGTAGTCTACCTGGTGCTGAGAAAGAAATCTCTCAAAAATTATGTCAAAAATATCATAGAAGGGAACAGAAAATAAAACCTAATGAATGACTCCAATAAAATAATTATAGTCAATTCATTGGGCATCCATAGTTCAGAATTAACACTAGCAGTTTCTGATTGTTTTAAAAAAAATAGATAGAATAATAAAATATGTTAGGAGAAAACCTCAATAATACATAGGGCAAGGTACAATCTCTCCTCCCTTGGTATCCAGGAAACCAAAGGCTTATGCTCTTTTGAATTTTAAATGTGTAGCAAAACACAATGATTTTAATTGCCTATAATCTGAGGTCAAACCTTTTGGCATGGTTCTTTGTTCACAGCAACACCACCACCAATAATATTTACTGAGCATTTGCCATGAGTCAGATACAGTTGTGAGCACTGGAGAGCACACAGCATTAAAGGTGACAGACAAGGCCCTGTCCTTATGGAGCTTATGTTCTGTCCCAATGCAGAATGATAAGTATGGTTAGACCAGAGAACAAACCATGACTAATTCTCTAACACCAAGAATACAGCCTTATAAAGAGAAAACCTTCTTGCTAAATTAGCAGTTTTATAGAGACCTGAATCTTTTCCATTAGAAGAAAAACACTTTCTAGTGTGCACTTAATCAGGTTTTGGAGCTTTAAAGGAATGGAATGAGAGATAAAAGATAAATCCCACCAAGCTAGAGAAGCGCTAACGTTCTGACCCTTTGATCCTGCCCATCAACAAGACACAACACTCCAGGTTTGGAGTCAGACTTAACTTAGATTTGAAGCCCAGTTTCATGCCTTATTAGCTCCATGACCTTAGGCATATTACTTAACTTTCTTAACAGTTCTCTCATCTGTAAAATGGTGCTAATAAAAGCCACCCCACCGCACTGTTATAAGCATTTAAAGACTTCATTCATAAATGTTTAAATCATACAATGTGGCATATGCTTTTCATTGAATAAACAGTATAGATGATTTATACATGCACACACACACACTCCATGTGCTCTTTCCTTCATGCACATATAATTTACCCATCTATCCTCCATGACATTCTCCCAGAGCTCTATCCTTCTGCCCTTGAGGCATTTACCTTCTTCCAAATTCACAATTAGCTAATAAAAGAATACAATCACTGAAAATGTGTTAATCAGAAAGGATACAGTGACTACTGCCTGCCAGCTCAAATACCCCTCTATGGTAAAATATGGTTTTGAAAACGAAACCGTACTAAAAATTGCATAGGTCAGAGGAGTGACTCTGGTGTGAATGCTAAGCAGCATCCTCTGAGTTTCTTGCAGTAACAGTAACCATCAAGTGCTAATACTTAAACTATCATTAATTTTTTTAAAAAACAAAACTTAAATGGATACTGTATCCTTTTTCATGAAAATTAAAGTATGTGCGAAAATAATGTATTTGCCCTGGAACATTCTATAAAACAAATATAACCCCTAGGAAAATAGGGCCACAGAAAGGTTAAATGTCCATGTAACATCTGTGATAGAGCAATACCTAGAACACAATTCTCTTTTTCACCCAATAATTTTTGACCATATCATGTTGACTTAATGAGATTTAGCTAAATATAGAAAATCCTTCTTTGAAAACCTGTAACCAAAAGGATCTAAAACTTGTGAATTAGGCAATAGCAAAAATGTCACACCCTTTGCTATGCTAAGAGGAAAGTCTCTCAAGTGATCGACTCGATGCCTGGCCATGCAAGTCAGACATTTAGTCATTTTTCTAGACGCTATCCATCATTGAGCACATTCCCGAATTTCATGCAACTTAATTTAAACGTTTAACTGGCTATTCTGATGGGAATAAACCTTTGAGGAAGTAAAAGCTTGACAATGCTGACACCTAGTGGCTGTGAAGAAACTGGAGCGGATCCAGCCTAGGAAGAGTAGTGCAAAAACACGAAGCATTTAATCATGATGAATATTAGGTTATAAAATACCAATTCTAAAATAAACCCTATAAAAGTTTATTTTAGCTCTCTATTTATCTCAGGGCCTACAAAAGGAGGCAATAAAAAACTTGCATCTGAAAAGTAAATTTTCCTTCAAGTTCCACACTTAGCAAATTTTTTACTCATCTTCAAAGATCAAAGAAAACTAAAAACCAGTTTATATTTTGGCATATTTATGACTATTTTCCTTAATGTTGCATGTACACCCTCAACCTTATCTTGGTCTTCAGGTGACTTTTCTCCCCGGGTCAAATATAAAAGCCATCTGGCCAAGTCATTATAGAGATTCCCTTTATGCCGCTGAAGAGTCCCTAGTCAAAGGATAGCTGGATCTTCACAAACCAGCGGGAATTTTCCTTAAGAGAGGCATAAGGACACATGTGGAAACCCCTAAAGTACACATCTAAAAGCAAGGACCGCATTGAACACTGTGGGAAGCCGTATGAACACAGCAGATAAGCACAGCACAACCTATTTCTACTCTAACCATTAGAAGATAAGTTTCCTAGACCCACCTGCACCTGTGACAGGCAGGATAGCAGGAAGCCTAAAGTGTTCATCTCCTCCACCAAGGAGAGCTCTGAATCCTACCTGCTGACGTTTGAAGGCTAAATAATCCAAATTTTCCAACTCCTTCCCAAGCTTCTGGTAGGTTTTCTGGAGGTCAGATTTGTTGGCAACATTTTTGAGAGACTCAAATGTCCTTTGAAACTGAAATTGAAAACAAAAGCAGGTCATTAGGATAGCAGCATATTTTTCTCAAATTCTCAACTTGGTAACACAGAGTCGATAATGAGCCTCAGTTTCTCCCATTCATAATACAGCGGTAACAAATGCTGGCTAATTATTGTTTAATGAAGAATTAGGGATACTTATAAAGAGTTATAAATCATATTCTAAGTATAACCAAGATTATTGCAGAAATGAGAAGCCTGGTTTAGTCCTCATTCTAACAAAAGAGCATACTTCATTAAAAAAAAAAAAAAAAGAAAAACTTCATCTTTTAGGATACACTTCTGCTTTTAAATTTTAATAAAAGAGTACAGTGCATGTATAATTTCAAATCATAATGAGGAAGCATTAAAAAGTGTTACATTTCAATCATGGAAACAAACAAATTTTTGAAAAAGTAGTTGCTTACATGATATTTTGCTATAATGATATATGATCTGGCTTGCCTCTAGAAAAACATCTATGCAGAATAGGTCACCCAACAGACTTCAGCAAGGAAGATCTTTCAGAGCTTGTATTTTGAGAAGGAAGAAAAACTTAACATTTTGATGATCAAAGCGTAAGTGGTATGTTCAGCAAACATTTATTCATTTCTGCTCTATAACACAGATGAGCTACGAACAGATGAGTTATGATCAGAAAGAGAGTTCTGATCAGTTCTGCTGAATCAGAATGCTCCCATTCTCTTTAAATCAGATCCTAGATAAATACAAAGGTGAAAAATTGCAATGAATCACAGTCTGCTACTATTAATTAATTAAGCAAAGGAAGCTCACAAGAAATTGGATTCTTGGTTTATTTTAGTAAATTAGAACATACTTTGGAGGGTTAGTGATTGAAAATGTCAAGTAATGTAATTAGCAAGACATTTGCATTTGCTCTCTCTTTATGTCATTTATTTTCCATATTCTCACTCTGTATCATTAGACAGTTTTCTACAGATAGAGACTTCACTATCTTAAACAAACCAGAACTCCACCGTGACTATGATGCCATGAGACAAGCTAATAAGATTTTATAGAATAATTAAATTTCCAGGGAAATGATTTGACCCTGACTATATCAAACTCTATGAAATAAGTCATATTAAAATGGCATTCTACTGAATTAAATCCTTAATTTCATGAAAGCAACATGTTTATCTCAATCCAAGATGACAGAGGGGAAATAAATGGGAAATAACAGTGCTAAGCTTCCATGGCAGGACAGTAAATTAAACTCAACACGTACTCATTTAGTACCTACTATGCACAAGGCCCTATGACTATAAAAGACATTTCCTTCCCTGAAGGAACTTAGACCATTGAGAAACTAGACATGAAATTCAGAAATGAGATGGACAATGACATTTACTGAGTGCCTGCTCAGCCCCAGGTACTTTATGCTTTCAAATTTAATCTTCACAAGAACCACAGGAGTTCTTATTTTTCTTTTCATTCTACAATTGAGTAAAGTGGGATTCAGAATGTTTGACTAAACAGGGTTTTACTACAACATTCATGTTCTTTCTACTCCATCCTTAACTCTAACACAAGGCAAAATAGTAAAGAGAGTGCAAAAAAAAGATAAAGCTAACATTGGTGAAAACTCAGAAACTGATACCGACTGAGGGACTCAGACCACATAGAAGACCCAAGAGAATCTGAATTGGGCCCCAAAGGACAGGAAGTCTTTTCAGAGTCTGACATAGACACCAATTCCACCCATCACTTTAAACACAGCCAAAATCAGTTCATTTTCCCCCACTTGTAACAAAATAAACAAGTTCCTTTCAACATAACTTTATTGACCTTTATGTGAAATATTTATCATATTGTATGATCATTTCTGTGACTTGCCCATTTCTTGGTTTATTCTATGTTCAAATCAAACTAAAACCATATCTAAGATTCTAAAAAATTTAAGTAATTTTATCTATGATTTCATTAATACAAGCTATTTTACTGACAAATCCATTTAACTCTAAAGCATGTTTTAACCCCTGCACTTTGTCTTCCTAGGAAAATTAGCTCTACTTCTTAAATATTTCTTCTTCATATTTATCTCTGTGAACTTTATAGAACTCCAAATGGAATCTTAAGAGCAAACACACTTGTAAAAAGTGTTCAAAACAATAAACACAGAAAACCAACACTTCCAAGTAATATGTCCACGGCCAAAGAAGAAATGGAGAAAATCCAATAACAATACATCATCACAAAAATGTTCTAAGGGTCAGAGTTTGCGTAATATGGAGATTTTGGCTTGAATTTTTGTTATCAGGAATGATATCCTCAATTTATTAGTAATAAAGAGTTCAAAACACTCTAAAACCATGATAATTTCATTTAGTTAAGCAGTTTTTGCTTACAACAACAATTGTCAAGGAGAGGTCATACGAAACCCGTGATGTAGCTTTGGCTTAGATCCCTATTAAACACACCCCATACCCATCTGCATACATGTACACTTAAAGATGCTAAAGAGTAAAAGCAATAATCTTACTTTGCAAATGATGCTGAGGTATGGAAGATAAAAGTTAGGTTGAGGTCTAGACTTTAAAGAGCATTCACTTGCTGTACAGAATCTCTGGAGTTTAATTACAAACCATCATTAGAGTGAACCAGCAACCAACAGAATGGGAAAAAAATTTTGCAATCTACCCATCTGACAAAGGGCTAATATCCAGAATCTACAAAGAACTAAAACAGATTAACAAAACAAAAAAAAAAAACCATTCAAAAGTGGGTGAAGAATATGAACAGACACTTTTCAAAAGAAGACATTTATGAGGCCAACAACATATAAAAAATGCTCATCATCACTGGTCATTAGAGAAATGTAAATCAAAACCACATTGAGATACAATCTCACACCAGTTAGAATGTCGATTATTAAAAAATCTGGAAATAACAGATGCTGGAGAGGATGTGGAGAAATAGGAACACTTTTACACAATTGGTGGGAGTGTAAATTAGTTCAACCATTGTGGAAGACAGTGTGGCAATTCCTCAAGCACCTAGAAATAGAAATTTCATTTGACCCAACAATTCCGATACTGGGTATATATCCAAAGGATTATAAATTGTTCTATTATAAAGACACGTGCACACATATGTTCGTTGTGGCACTGTTTACAATAGCAAAGACCTGGAACCAACCCAAATGCCCATCGATGACAGACTCCACAAGGAAAATGTGGCACATATACACCATGGAATACTATGCAGCCATAAAAAACTATGAGTTTGTGTCCTTTGTAAGGACATGGACAAATCTGGAAACCATCATTCTCAGCAAACTGACACAAGAACAGAAAAACAAACACCTCATGTTCTCACTCATAGGCGGATGTTGAACAATGAGAACACAGGGAGAGGATACAGGGAGAGGAGCAGCACACACTAGCATCTGTTGAGGGGGAATAGGGAAGGGACTTCGGGGGTTAGGGAGGTTGGGGAGGGATAACATGGGGAGAAATGCCAGACATAGGTGACGGGGTGATGGAGGTAGCAAACCACATTGCCATGTATGTACCTATGCAACAAT